AAAAAAACTGTAAACTCAATAGTTCTGAATTCGAGCGAAGATGAGGATGCAATACTATGCTAGCGGTGTCGCTTGTCAGTTTTAGATAGGACTGGGCTCCACGCCACTGTTGTCCTTATATATCCTCGAACAATAATGCAACCGGCATTTCTCCATGATTGTAGTTCCACCTCTCTCTCTCCCTCCCTCCCTCCCTCCCCCAAACATACAAACCTACCTCGCAAGTTTTTTCATTTCGCAGGTGAAGCGATAGATTTCCCCAAGCCCTGTGTATTTGAGTGCTCTGTCTTATTCACGGGGATTGGGCGTGACCCGAGTTATTCCGTACAGCGAATACCAAGTTGCAGGCTTTGGGCCTCGTCTGTTTTTCATTTCTCTATTTTCATTACGAAGTGGTAAGGTCTGATGAGTTCGTTTATCGTCGGGAAGTCTTTTCACTTAGAGGCTCGAATGCCCAAGAGGCACATGGTGGTAAGCTTACAACAATTTGTGGTGAGAAGAAAGAGTAATTAAAGAATGACTATTTTCTAGAATGATATGTTGGGATGAGTATAATGGTATGGGAATATACGTTCGTGTTTTAACCAGTCAACAACAGAGTGAGTTGTCGATTCTTCTTCGCCCTTGTATGGTAGAACGAATGGAGAAGAGATGAGATTGCGATGCGTCATGGGACGATCCATGACGTGCAGAATTGAGCGTACGCAGAGACTCGGCCGATCTATTACTGAATGCAACCAACTCTTGACTCCATCTAAATTTTGTTGGTCACTTTTGGACTTTTATTTGGTTCGAAACACTTAAATAAAACCACTCAAAATATTCAAATTTGGACATGTAAAACGCTAGTTTCTATTCTATACAATTTTTTCTATTTTCAGAAAAGTCGTGGTCAGATGTGAAAAGAAGTCGAAAAATGCACGCTAACAAATAATATCTTACAGACCTAAAGTTGAATGACTTGTTACCTCGTCGGAGAGAACATACAAGGAGACTGAAATAATGAACGGAAATATATTAACTAATATAGACGGTAAGACACATGATGTATAGTTGTCGTAAATATTACGATAAAAAATAGTAAATAAATTATAAATTATAAATTATGGCTACGAGAATACCAACGAACATCCTATATATAGTCAAGTTTAGGAAAAATTACCAAAGGTACTAAACTTTTTATCCGGTGGTCAATTCATTCATAAATTTTTCAATTGTGTCAATTTAGTTCTAAACATTTTGATAATTTGTCAAATGTAGTCATTCTGGCCAATTTTGGTCGGAAATCGCTGACGTGGGCGTTTGTCATTTTATTTGGCACGGCCGGCCGGCGTTGATGTGGACAAAATTTTCAATTTTTTAAAAAAGTTTTCTGAATATTTTTGTTTTCTTTTGTTTTTTTTTTTCAACTCTGGGTCGGTGAGGTCACCGGGCAACCATCGCCGCCAACATTTCTCTATGAAGGCAGGAACCAAGGAAGGGTCATCTAAAATCAATGAATTTTAATCAGGAATTCTCATGATGATCTCTCTAATGAACAATGTTTTCGGCAAAAGCGCATGAAATTGTTATATTCAGACCACCAAGAGAAGTGAAAACTATAGGTAAGATTAGAGACGTCAAGATTTGGGTTGGTCAGCAGTTATGCCTACATTCTTGAGCGAAGAATGGGTCATTTTGAGTAGTACGATAAAATAAGTATAAATGAGAATCAATTTATAGCGCCATCGCCATTGTGGATCCCCATTGTCCCCTACTCTTAGATGTGTGTGTGTCCACGCAAGACCTCAAACCATAACCGATCAGAGGTAGCCTGTTTTGCGACCACAAAACGACCTTGACCCGAAGTTCGCGATCCTCGTGGTGACGAGAATAAATGTCGATGGCGACGAAGGGACAAGAGTCATAGATGGCAATGGACGGCCACAAGGCGGTGGCGGGTCGCACATAGTGCATCTAACTTTCTCACGTCCAAGCAAATGAATTAACTAAATTCCCCAGCCGAATGATCAGCAATAACTTCAGCATAAGAAGTTCAGTTCAACTTCGATAGAGTTAAGGAAGCACTTCCCATACAGAATATGTGGTTAGTGCCAGTGTTTAGATTCAATAGAATAAAAGAGCAGAAAAAGGGCAAATAATGGCAGTAGGATTTCGTTGACTAACCTACTTTGGATGTCTGTGGAGATAATTTCAAGAACGACTTTAAGATGGCCAAGTTGATTTGCCATAGATACAAAAACAAGGCAACAAATGGCCGCTTTTCAATAACAGATTCGCCATTAAGTTCCTACGATTAGAACTTCGCTATAGTTCTCTAGTGTAAGCCTATCAAGATTTATAACATTAAGAGGGAAATTTAGGAAATGTACCAAATGCCAACAAAGGATCAGATGAAGCATGTAAATGCTGATAACTTATAACATCACTTGAAATCTTGTCATTCAGATAAGATGTGCTGATAATTTGAAGAGACGGTGAAACTTGACTAAAAAGAGTCTTTTCTCAGACATTCTTTTCATCTGACTACTTGTTGAGTGTATATGGGTGATTAAAGTTCTTACTACACCATCCAACATGATTGTAGATAGATTAGCTACAATTGTTTAGATTTACATACATTTTATTGTCTTATTTTCTTATTTCCTAAAAAAAATAAAAAGAGTGTCAAATACCCTATTGTAACTCTACGGATGGATGGGATTTTGCATGTTCTGTATATCTTCCTTCAAGGAGTTTAACATATAATTCTTGAATTTTCACCTGTATTACTACCCAATAATGGATTGATTTGCAAAATTCTCAATAAAAAACTACTTTATTTGGTTATGATGTAATCATGAGTCATTTGATACATTTTGTTCCGAATTTTAAATTTGTGACTCGCTTATCTTAAATTTTTTAAATGGTAATCAGAGAGGGCGATGTGTACTCGTATTTAAATTAATCTTGAGTTGTTAATGATCTGGAAAGCACAACAATGTACACATATCATAGTTATTAGCTAATCTACTTCATAAGCGTAATCTTGACTTAGAAGGTGCAAGATGAGTGTGCACATCAATAAATAGTGAGAAGAACAAGTTGAAGAAATAAATGGACTGTGTTTTTAATATTGAGGCGAACTTGTTGGGAACATGCCTAGCTTTGACTAGTCTCATTTCACACTCTTTTGAATTCTTCAGCCTGACCACTATTGGCCAACACATAAGATTTAGAATCACTTGGACTCACAGAATAAGACAAAGCAAAGATGATGCCGAGTCCGAAGTGACCTGGCATTATTGGTTAACGCGTGGCTAGAATTTCTAGAAAGATTAATACAACCAGAAATCTCAAATTGGTACATACATGATAAATTTACTCAAAACTAATTTTTTGACCACAAAAATGCCAAACTGATACATCTGTGATAAGTTTACCATAAACTAATTTTTTGACCATAAAATAACCCAAACTGGTACACTCGCGACAAATTTACCTTCTGTTAACTTCAGTCAAATTTTATAGCTAAATTGTCTGATGTGGATGACACATGGTGACGTTGGGCCTGTTTGGTTCAGCATTTGGAATGCTCATTTGGATTCTAAAGTCCTTTGGCCAAATGCAAATGGCGTTTGGCAATTTTTTTGGAGCACTTTGAGGAAATGCAATTGCATTTCTAAAGGCTTCTAAAGTCCCTTAGCCCAAGGCAGGTCTGGAGGCACTTTGGCAAGTTGCATTTTCGGAATGCAAGGTGCACTGTTCATGCACACTGTTCATCTTCTCGAGGAACCAAATCGGAGGCCGGCGATAGCCGTTTGAGGAGTTCGGCGACAGCTGTCTGAGGGGTCCGGCCACCGCCGCTTGGGGGTCGGCCGACCCTCAGGCGGCCGTGGCCGGACCCGCGCAACCCAGGCGACGCCTAGGTCAGGCAACCTCAGGTCGCCTTGCCTGAGGTCGTGCGACCCAGGCAAGTGTCGGCTTGGGTGGCGCGACCCCGGGCGGCGGTCGCCGGGGTCACGTGACCCAGGCGACGCCGCCTGAGGTTGGGCGACCTCAAGCGAGGCTGGCCATTGGCAGTTGGCCGGCGGAGGTTGGCCGGCTGCCATTTTGGCCTGTCGACGGTGGCTGAGTTCTTTGCTGATTTTTTTTTTAAATATTAACAAAAGTCCTTTACAAAATTAGTTTTTACCAAATGGTATTCAGATCAAAGTTGTTCTCAAACGTGATTTTAAAATACACTTTACCAAATACTAGCATTTCAAAAAATCCTTTTAGCTCAAAGGCCTTTGCATTTTGCCAAAGGCATTCCCCCGAAGCCGAACCAAACAGGCCCGTTGTATGGTGACGTGGCAAGTCCACGTGGAAATTCATAGGGTGTGGCAAGTCCACGTGGAAATTCATAGGGTTAATACTACGATAAACCCCGAACTGGTTCAATCGATTTGTCACATGTGTACCGGTTTGAGATTTTTTGTGGTATTAACTTTATGGATTTTCATGTGGACTTATCACGTGACCATATCACATCACCATGTGTCGTCCAGATTAGCAAATTTAACGATAAAATTTGACGGAAGCTAACTAAGTATAAATTTCTTACATGTCTATCAGTTTGAAATTTTTTGTGATCAATATTAATTTAGGATAAATTTATCGCATGTGTTTTTCGTGATATAACCTTTTCTAGTAACCCTAATCTTAGCCGTCATTCTTCATTCATTCTTCTTGTCACGTTCAATTCTTGATAGATCATTCTTTGTTTTTTCCTCCTATTTCTTGTTTTTCGTTGTTCCATTTTGCCCGCCTTGAGGGGCAACGTTGACTAGCTTACGGACCAACATGGGACACTAATAACAGCCCAACACAACATAATCCCCAGAAAAGAAAAGAAAAAATCAATATGACCAGAGAATTCATTGATTGCTCGATTAGGACTCTTCCAGAATGTCCGTCTCATTCATAATAGCAAACACATGCGGTGTCGCGTGAAAAGTCTAACGTTGGACCTTGTTTGTTTTCATTTCCAATTTTTCGCTATATTTCCATTCTCAAGTGTAAGAAAAAACCTCTCTTTCTAAGCACTCTCAAGGATTCCTCACCTCCTTCTAACTCTTCTTCTCTCCCCAACATGATTCCCCTCTAATACCAAACCTAATCCGCTGAAAAGGGAAGCTGAAGGAAACTTGCTCTCTCGGACAGTTACTGGTCCTTCCTCACGCTTCTCGTTGATAATACCAACCCACAACCTCACTCCACTCAATCCACAACAATCTCTTGATCAACTTCTCTTCACTCGACACTGCGTCCAGGTCGGATCGATGTGCCCGATGATGCCGAAGACCGCTCTGTCCACGCTCCTCCTCTTGGCCAGCATGGTCTTGCCGGTCCTCGCGGCTGCAGCGCATAAAGCCGTCCACCTGCCCTGCAGCCAGACCTGTGGCACTGGCGTGCCCGCAAAGCAGAACCTGACGTACCCGTTCGGGTTCTCGCCGGGCTGCCCAATCCAGCTCAACTGCTCCGAGGATGGGGACGCCCTCATCGGGGAGTTCCTTGTGCAGTCCGCGTCCCCAGACACCATCACCATCACCGTCGAGACCAAGTGCGACCGCCCGTTCAGGTCCATTGACCAGCTCTACGGCCGCAACTACGCCCCGATGGGGACGAACTCCGTCCTGCTCAACAATTGCGCGCAGACCTCCGCATGCGATGTGCCCAGGACGCAGGTCATCCAGGCCCAATTCCAGTCCCGCTGTGAGCCTAGCAACAAGACCAACACCAGCATGAGCTGCTACTCCGAGAAGGCGAACCACTACAACGCGATGTTTCTCAACCGCAGCGGGCTCTTTGACCTCGGCTGCGAGTACTTTCTGTCGTCGATATCGGCGGAGGAGCTGAACGACGGGTCGGTGCCGCTGCGCTTCCAGATGTTACATCTGTCGTGGTGGGTGAACGGCGACGAGTGTGAGTGCTCCCAGGATGCAGACTGCGTTCAGCTCTTGGGGCTGCCGAACGGCGGCGGAAATGGGTTCCGGTGCAAGTGCAGGGACGGGTTCCTTGGCGACGGGCTCTTGGCCGGCACCGGCTGCCGGAGAGGTTAGTTGGAGCGTTTTATTATCGTCGACTGTTTTGACCAATTATCCTCTGCGATCAAATTAAAAATTGGTGCTAAGAATGCTAAGATGGTATCCAATATTAACATGCGAACTCTTATGGCGGACTTTTAATCGGTTAAGAATATGATCCGTTCACTCAACTTCTAATCTTAGTTTACCATTGTGATAAGGAGCGTTTGTTTCGTGAAAAATAAGTAATTTAAAAAGTATTTTTCAAGAAATAATTATTTATATCGTTTAGAAAAATTAATCAACGAAATTTTTTTGTATTCGTTTATTTTTCTAAACAATATAAACGATAATTTTCTAAAAAATATTTTTTAAATTATTAATTTTTCGAATTTTTCACGAAATGAACACATTCTTAATTACATACTCGAGACTAATTTTATATGGCCCAAATTAGCTGCCGGCGCAGCAGCCACTATGGGCTATTGGTGGCTGATTCCCAGGTGTCGTTCACCGATTGGTGCTCCTCATTATTTTTCTGCGGACCTAATGACACCACATAATTCCACACATCCCCTGTTTTTCCTTTACTCCCTCTCTGTCTGTTCATCTTTTTGGCCGCACTGCCACTACCTCGTCTCTCCCCTCTGTTACAAAATCGAGTCCCATCACAGTAGCTCCGCCCCGGCATCTCTCGCAGCCGCATATGTCGCCGCCGTCCACCAAAAACCATATGATGGAAAGCTCTCCCTTTTTGTTCCACAGCGAAATCGTCGCCAAAGTGGGAGAAAGAGGAGACGTTGAAAGTACTCACTATCGTGTTACCACTGATGGTTCTTGTCGTCGTATCGATGCTGATCTTGAGTGGAGTTTACGTGATAACAAGGAAAAGGAAATTCGCCGAGGTCCTCGAAGATTGGGAGAGGGACTACAGCCCGCACCGGTTCAAGTACAAAGATCTTTACGTTGCGACGAAAGGATTCCGGGACCAAGAGTTATTAGGGGCCGGTGGGTTCGGCCGGGTCTATAGAGGAATCTTACCCACATCGAATATAGAGGTTGCGGTGAAGAGGGTCTCCCATGAATCGAAACAAGGCATGAGAGAATTTGTAGCAGAGATCATCACCATCGGTCGGCTCCGTCACCGCAACTTAGTGTCCCTCCTCGGTTACAGCCGCCGGAAAAGGGAGTTGCTCTTGGTTTACGACTACATGCCCAATGGGAGCCTCGACAAGTACCTCTATAACCAACCAAAGGTCACCCTCAATTGGATGCAAAGATTTAGGGTGATCAAGGGAGTGGCATCTGGGCTGCTTTATCTGCATGAAGGGTGGGAGCAAGTGGTGATCCACAGGGATATAAAGGCGAGCAACATCTTGCTAGACGCTGAACTAAATGGAAGACTTGGAGATTTTGGGCTCGCGAGACTACACGACCATGGAACCGACCCTCAAACGACTCACGTCATAGGAACGCTCGGTTATCTCGCCCCCGAGCAGATGCGAACAGGCAAGGCCACCAGGAGCACCGACGTGTTCGCGTTTGGAGCGTTTTTGCTCGAGGTTGCCTGCGGGAGAAGGCCGATAAAGCATGGGGACACGGAGGACGTGTTATTAGTGGACTCTGTATTTTCTTGCTGGGACAGTGGTGACATTCTCGAGGTAAGTGATCCGAATTTGGGGGCGGAGTTCGTGGAAGGAGAGATGGAGCTGGTGCTGAAACTCGGGTTGATGTGCTCCCACTCCAATCCTTTGATGAGGCCGAGCATGCGTCAAGTATCGCAGTACTTGGAGGGCGATCTTCCGATGCCGGAATTGCCGTCCACCGGCATTTCCTCCTGCAGGTTAACATTCGCTCATCGCCCTGGTTTGGACGATTTGGTCGTGTCTTGTCCATCCTCCACGGGCGAGGCATCTGTGCGCTTGTCTTCTGTCGCAGAATCGATTCTCTCGGGTGGGCGATGAGCCTCCCGGTTTAGTTTCTGATCTGATTCCATCCTCTGTACTTGGAGAACATCGATGTGTCCAAACTGTCTCGTCTCTTCTTTTGTATAAATCAATCAGTGGTAAGCCGAGATAATGTGCAGATCTAAAATCCGGAAGGCTCTGTGAATCATTCTGGTACGAGTCGGTGTAAGTACCTCATTAGTTCAGCGATCGCATGATTTCTGATCTTTTTATATTGTCTCTTCGCGAGTCATGGACGCTAGGGGCGTAAACGGTTCGGTTCAGTTCGGTTTTTCGTCTCTTCGCGAGTCATGGACGCTAGGGGTGTAAACGGTTCGGTTCGGTTCGGTTTTCTCGAAAAACCGAACTGAACCGAACCGAACCGTTAAGGGTGCCTCCTCGAACCGAACCAAATAGGAACCGAACCGATAAGCCGATTTGGTTCGGTTTGGTTCGGTTTGGTTTTCGGTTTCTTCTTCTTTTTTGTTTTTTTTTTTGCTTTTTTATTCATGGCTCGGTTTTCTGTTTTTATGTAAAAAATTTCATGATAATTTTTTTATGATAATTTTATGATAATTTTTTATGATAAAAAATTAAGAAAGCTCTAGAAATTTCATCACGTTGTAGAAAAAGATAATGGCTTCAGTAGATTATGTATACTTAGTTTGATCTATGCATAGCTAATTTAAGAAGAAGAAGAAGAAGAAAGAAACCAGGAAAATTTTGATAATATGCATGAATTGGCATGATAATTTCACATTAAAAGATGTTTAATATTTAATTACTAGTTCTTGATAATAAAATGTATTTATGATAATTTTAGATGGTTTTCTCCCTATCAATATTCACTGTTAGCCTCCTATTTAGACTATGAATTTACTGTCTTTATATGCCATCCGATTGCCAAAGTAGCCTATATCTCCTTTCCCAAGAAGCCATTTTAAAACGACTCAAGTTCTTGATAAACAGTCGGTAATTGAATTTATGAGAATTTGACAGGAGTGCATGCACTCTAAGCATCTGAGAGGGCGACATTTGACACCTGTTCCAACTACTCAAAAAGGTGAAATTCCAATAAATTTCTTCTCCAACATAAGAGGGATAGTACTCAGAGAGGAAACAGAGCAACAGATTGTTGTCCTCGAAAAGACCTTAGCAAGATTTTGGTAAGTGAAATTACGTAGGAGCAGCACGTGCTCTTTGATTATAAAACCGAAAAAAACCACATGAATGGATAGATTTAACTAAGTAAAGATCAGTACCAGACTGTTAGAGCAGCCGCAGCACTCACAGACAATGAACTGAAACTTGAACTACACAAAAGCAACACCAACCTAAACAAACAAACACCACATATCCATCCCAGCCATATTGATTGAGAAATTTACTTAAGAAGATACAAACATGCTCCCAGAGAAAGGGATGACATTCAATTCACATCTGATAAGAAGTTTCAAGAGAAAGATGGAAATCCATCTTCAGCAGCAAGGTTGGCCACCACCTTCACAGCATGAATCCGTACATTGGCATCATCTGACTCCAGGAGAGACAATATTTTCTGCAACCCCACTGTAGATTTGGTTTTTCAGTTGATGAATTAGAAATGTGCAGTTTTTGAGCCTTCCTTTTTTAAAAATAATCGAATAATGGACTAGCTGCAAAAAAGAATACAGAATCTCCAGTACTCACTTGCTTTCGTTACGCATCGAGGAGATGACTACTTCTCTTTTGTTCGTCAATCATCAAGGGAAACCAATATCGAGTTCAGCTCCGCGGTCACAGTTGACAACTCTACATTAAATTCACAATAAAAATGAGAATTGAAGTATCTATTGCAATATTAAAGGATATAAAATATTCCACGATAATTTTTTCTCACCTGACTCAAAATTTTCGAGTTCTTCTAAGTCCTCCTCAATCGAAAGTGAAAGTGGTGTGGATCGTAGCCAATCTTGAGTACATATCATTACTAGTGACATAAGAACAACCCGATACTTTTAAAGTCGTATCATAGAACAACTTCAAGAAAGGAAGAAATTGACAGGCATATTCCCAATCATCACTAGTAGGCAACCCTCTCACCTTGGAAAGCTCTTCAACAAACTTGCTATCCCGAATATCTAGTAAGATAAAAGCCTTCTGAAACTTCAAAGCTGCTTCCAACATTAGGTATGTTGAGTTCCAACGAGTCTCCACATCCAAACATACAAGACTCTTGGACTCGATGTTTTCTAGCTCAATGCACTCCTTAAACCGTTGCAACCTCGCAGGAGAAGACCTCACATAACGCACAGCTGAGCGTATTCTAACAATGGAATCATCTATATCTTTCAAACCCTGAAGTAGACATCTACCAATCTATGACAATTAAAACCTGAAATTATTATAATTCAAGTGGCTGTGTCAAGTTATCAAACTTTGTATCACAAGCAAATACTTAATAGAAGGGGTGGCCATTAAAGTACCATAAAGAAAAGAAAAAAGATAAGGCGAAGGGCAAAAACAGAAACATACAGCCTATATAACCCATTAGTGACCAACAAAACATGATCTCAAAATATTGGGTAAGGCAAATACTGCAATTCCATTAAAAATAAGCTAGGAATTATAACTCCATTCCGAAAACCGTCATTTTAAATTTTCCCTAAAAACTTCGCTTGAAAAAACTGAACAATATTAAGAAAGAAAACCCACTGCATATGCAGTACAATCAAATTCTTAGGCACCACATATAACCATGCAATTTTCATGACAGCAAAGGCCTTGACAAAAAGACCAGGACTAGCTAAGTCATAGCTAGAATATACCTCAACCCGTGGCTGTCCAGGAAGCAGATTTGCTACAGCAGTGCCTACCACTGCATGACCAGCTTCATGGCGTGCAACAACTGCCTTCTCGCTTCCTTGCAACTTCATAGTTTTCTTCTCGATGCCCTGGTAGAGGTTAACAAAGAGACCATTTATCTTACCAAACAACTACAAGCTTCTACACGCTTGTTGGTTCATTATCCAACATTATTGGAACCAAGTGACGTCTATTGAATCATTTGCAATCTCGGAGGAAATGAAGTATGAAAGCCACGATTATAATAAAGCAATAAATCTAATAAAAAACATCTATGATCAACCATACATCACCACCCTTCAAGAGCAATTACTTCACTTAGAGAAGTTGGGTGATCGCAAACGTAACAGCCTAAAGCCAAATCTTTTTCACTGGCAAGACAGATGGATACTAATACACTCACATAGGTAAATCGCGTCAAACATTGTTTATGAGCATAGCTAAATTGGGCAACCAAAACATGTAACTCCTAAATCATCTCACAAAAATGCTTACTGAACATCTGCCAGAGCGACAAAAGCTCCGACAAACCAAGATGCCAAGAAGCTATCGACGAGAACCCAAAGCGGGTGATTGAAAAACTTCTCGCTTACACCAATACAATCTAGAAATGGCAACATTTCGCAAAACCAATGCACTTGATCAACATAAACAGCAAATGCGGGCACGACATTATCCATTCTAGAAACCCCTGGTCGACGTACAGGAAGATCAAGAACACGCAAGACAGTGGCCCTGTTCATCAACTTCAGATCCATGAGGATGCAGAAACCCACGATTCGGAGATCAAACATCTCTCCGTTATGACAGAAACAAGCACGACGGCGCAAGCTACGGAATCCACCCACCTCACGCTTTGCATTTTCACAGTGAGAAAATGCATACAGAAGAACGGCCCCCACTTCGCCAAGAAACAGAAATCCACGCCGATCCCATCGATCATCATGCAAAGACAACCAGCGGCAAACGGAATTCAAAAGCGAAAAAGGGAAGAGCAATTGCACCCATCAGAGGGAAAACAATCAGCAGGAAAATCGAGAAGCAGAGAGAGAGAGAGGGGGAGAGAGGTGACCTGTAGGAGCCGAATCTTGGACAAATTGTTGGAGGCTTCTTGCTTTGAGCGACGCAGGAGTCGGCGCCGAGAGAGAAAGCCCTAAAAGCTTTGAGTCGTCGCCTCGGGCAAGAGCCTTGTGACGAGCAGGAGAAGGAGAAGGCGGAGCCGGAGCGCGATGATTCGCCGAGGCCGGGGACACAGAGGAGGTGCAGATGCAAAGGAGGTGCAGCGCTTACGAGATGTCGTCCTCGGTCAGTCGTTCTGACCCTATGAGAGAGAAAGCACCAGATGCAGCGCGAGCGAGATAGCCCTAAAGCAAAGGGTAAAAACCGAAGTGTTTATTTCAGTTCGGTTCGAACTGATCCGAACCGAACTGAAAAAAAAAATTGGTTAATTTTGATGATTCGAACCGAAACCGAAACCGAACCGAAATGCACGAAATTTTCGATTCGGTTCGGTTCGGTTCGTATCTCGGTTCTGACACCCCTAATGGACGCAATGTACTTCGTAGCCCTTTGAATTTGACTGGCTTGAAGCAAGTGAACGACGACACTTCTCATGGCACATCATGCATATGATGCACTTCCTCCCCTGAAAGCTGAATAGATAGATTAACATAGCCTCAGAGTCAAGAATGGAATGTAGCAGAAGTTTGCGCGATTTTCAAAATTCGAAAACCGAACTCGCGGTATAAACTACTGAGAATAGGAAGATGAATGCACGTCTTGATTTTGGGGTTCGTTAAAGGATAAGGGTATGAAAGTTTCTTAATAAAATTTAAGGGTGGACACTGGGCGGGATGGTTTTGGGGGAAAGTACCAAAAAGGTCTTAAACCTATTGTATTGATACAAATTCAATCATAAACTTTTCAATTGGTCCAATTTAGTCCTAAACATTTTTACATTTGCCAATTGAGTCCATCCGACCAATTTTGATCGGAAATCACTGACATGGACGTCGATCATCCTACGTGGCACGACCGGTGTTGACGTAGATATTTTTTTTTATAATTTTTTTCTTTTCTTTTCTTTCCCTTTTTAATATTTTATTGTTGTTTTTTTTTCTTTCTTTTTTTTTTCTCAGTTTGGCCACCGAGGGTCGCAGTCCTCACCTATAGCTGGTGGGGCTGCAAAGGCCCTCGCCTAGGGCCTTCGCGCCCTCGCCAGCAGCCGGAGACGGTGCGTAGGCCCTCGCCGGCCAAAATGAAAGGAAAAACAAAAGAAAGAATAATAATAAATAA